CCGGCGTGATGGCCCGCAGCGCGTTGGGCTGTCACCACGACACCAAAGTGGGGGGAAAAAAAAGGGATTTTATGTCACCTATTGCGATATAAAATCCTTTTTTGAGTTCTTGATGCCGAATCGGCCGTCTCCGGCGCCGCGGGTTTCACCCGTCTCGCTGCCGGAGGGCAGGCGAATGAATTCAAAGCCAAATTTTGGAGTTTTTAATTAAACGCTGATTTTTCAGCGTTGGGGTCGTTAAAACCTAATTCTGCTCAAATTTATTCCGCGGAGAAGTTCTCATCCACCGCCGCGGAGCCGAATCGGTGATGAACCAGCAGCTTCCGCTCCGTTTCCTCTTTAATTTCAATTCTTTTCCTTTTTTTTTTTTTTTTTTTATAAGGTAAAACCCCCTGAATTTAGGGCTGGGATTTTTAAATTTTCATTTTGAAAACTAAACAGTTTCATTCCAGCCTTGAATAAATAAAATTTTGGGGTTTATCGCTCGGATGATGACGTCAAGTCTTTCCCCCATCCTCTTCCCAACGCTACCTTAGATCCGGAGATGATGGCTCCAAAAAGATGGAGAAGACGGAGCTGGAGTGTTTCGGGAAGTTGCTCTCCGGCTTGGAAACTCTCTGCGAGGATGAGGAGGGCAAGATTTATTTTGGGGAGGAAGCAGGAAAAAAAAGAAATTAAAAAAACGGAGAAAAAAATCCCTTTTCAACCTGAATTTACCCCAAAAACCAGCTCACGTTGGCGCCGGACCCTGTTCGTGACGGAGGATGAGGATGCTCAAATTTTTTGGCAGCTCTGGTTGCACCAGGGGAGGTATTTTGGGTCTTTAAAAAAATGTTAAAAAATGGGTTTTTTGCTCAGAAGTCAGTTTTTTTTTCTCAAAAACGTTTGTTGTTTTCTTTCTTTCCTCAAAAACAGGGTTTTTCTTTGGTTAAAAAAGAGGGGTTTTGATCAAAAATAGTATTTTTTGTTCAAAAATACTTTTTTTTCCCTCAAAAATAGGGGAGGGTTGTTCGAAAATGGGGTTTTTTGTTCAAAAATGGGGGGGTTTGCTCATTTTTTTTTTTTTCCAAAATAGGGGTTTTTGTTCAAAACCAGGAGGTTTTTGTTCCAAAATAGGAGGTTTTTGTTCAAAAATGGGGGTGTTTGCTCAAAAATAGAGGGGTTTGTTCAAAAATGAGGTTTTTTTTTTCTCAAAACCAGGGTTTTTGAGAAAAAATAGGGAGGTTTGTTCAAAAATAAAGGGGTTTTTGTTCAAAAATGGGAGATTTTTGTTCAAAAGTAGGAGATTTTGTTCCAAAGTGAAGCAATTTGTGCAAAAATATAGCTTTTTTTGTTCAAAAATAGGAGTTTTTTGATCAAAAATGGGGGTGTTTGCTCAAAAATGGGGGTGTTTTGTTCAAAAATTGGAGGTTTTTGTTCAAAAGTAGGTTTTTGTTCAAAAATGAAGGGGTTTGCTCAAAAATAGGGCTTTTTTTGTTCAAAAATAGGAGGGTTTTGTTCAAAAAATGGGGGGTTTTGCTCAAAAATGGGGGGGGTTTGTTCAAAAATGTGGGTTTTTTTCCCACATTTTATTTCCTCAAAAATAGGAGTTTTGCTCAAAAATGCATTTTGCTCAAAAATAGGGGTGGGGTTGTTAAAAAATGAGGGGTTTTGCTCAAAAATGCGGGGAGTTTCCTCAAAAACGGGGGAGGTTTTGGTCCAAAAATATCTTTTTTTCTCAAAAATATTTTTTTTTTTCTCAAAATCAGGGGTCACTTTGGGGATTTACAGGCAGTTGGGTTCGTTGGGAGTTTTCGGTGATTTTTTTTCGCCTTGGAGTGGGTTTTTTTTGGGGGGGAGGGACTTCCCCGGAAAAAAAATCCCCTTTTCATCGATTTTTACAGGCTGCCTGCGTCGTGCAG